GCTACGTTTGCAGAGGGCTTTAGGGAAAGTACAAGAATCATGTCAGCATGAAAAGGGTGGATTGTGCTCACGCATTAACTTCCACGGAATCTTTCACCTGGATAGTATACTATGGAAAAGCCGGAACAACCGCAAGATTCAAAACAAGAGGTATCAGCAATTCAAACCATTACAAGACGCCATTCTCCTCACGGAAATTGTTTATTCATGAGCATATATTATACTTTTTTTCATATATCACTACGTATTTAGTGACCAGCAAGGGCCATGGCACGGCGGCGGTCACGCTCTTCAGCAATAGAGAGCTGTATAATACAGTCAGCATACATGTTTTGAGATTTTGAAGGGGTAGGTGGGAATTGGAGGCGTACCTTGACACCTTTGCCCTTGGGCAGGCTGATCCATGGCTTGTCCTGTCCAATGATGAAGACGTTGCTCTCACGGGTGGCAAAGGAGTTGTCAATGGCATCCTTGATGTGGACGATATTGAAACCACCATCGTGGCGCTCACGATGGGTAATGACACCCACACGTCCCATGTTACGACCACCGGTAGCCATGGCGATGGCACCAGTGTCGAACTTGATGAAATCAGTGATCTTGCCGGTGGCCAGATCAATCTTCACAGTATCGTTGACCTTGATAGCAGGGTCAGGGTATCGGATCCTATAAAAACCAACAGGGGACATGTCAGCAATTCGGGATAATTTCCCATGTTCTTCACAAAAAATAGAGTAAAATTAAAGCCAGGATATCATGATATCGTGTTTCCACTGATATCAACCAAAGCTTGGTCCAACGACTGAATGATGCGGAAGAACTCACGTTCTAGCATCGTGCGTAACCAAGAATGGGATGCCGCCCTTGCCGAGCTGAACACGCTTGACTTTGCCCAGTTTGTATTCGGCCTCCTCGGCTTGGATGCGGTGGACGGTGAAACGGCCCTTGGTGTCATAGACGAGGCGGAAGTTCTCGCCAGTCTTGTCGATGGTAATTACGTCCATGAAACCGGCGGGGTAGGTGGAGTCAGTGCGGACTTTGCCGTCGACCTTGACGAGACGCTGCATGAGGATGGCGTTGGTCTCCCGCGCGTTGAGGGCATACTTCAGACTGTCATCCACCATCAATTGTCAGCATTTTCTAGATCCTGCTACCGCGCCTTCCAATTTGGGATTGCTGACTCACCGGTTGCGAATAAAAACGATGAGAGGCAAGCAATCTCTCAGCTTGTGAGGACCAGGAGATGGGCGAGGAGCATAAGAACCGGACAGTTTGTCCAAGAGCCAGTGCGAAGGCGCACTCAGGCGCTTCTGATGCTTCTTTCTTTAAATCGCAAAACTCATTAGCCTCGACCAGTGTATCAGCAAATTGGTATATTAGGGAGCAACATACGGTCCACGGCCCATGATGATTGATTATCGACTTGCTATCTCGAAGTGTCGTTGTTGCCGTAGAGTGGACGTTGGCAGCCAAAGTGTGGACTGGAGAACTTTTTTTGACGACTACGAAATTCGCTTAGAATTGTGTTTTGGTTTAGTGGAATCGCAGCCCTAAGGGCTAACCGAATCAGGATTAACTAACGGCAAGACTTCACCATGATCACATGATATCAAACTCTATTTACTCGTGCACGCACCACCTCTTGCGACGCTCGATCCTTGTTGTGCCTCTCTTCTCTCGTGCCCAGTCACTAAGCACATCTCAAATGGCCGAAGAAACTGAATGCAGCAAGGTTACAATCATAAATATTCGCGGACACTTGCGGCAGTTCGGAAGTGCCCACGCACCCCGAACTCGAATAGGCCGAAGACGGACCGTAACCACTGATGATCGGGGCGCTCTGCGACCACCTGCCCGATAAACACGAAACACGGTCTCTATCTAGATGAGATGGTTACGTTCTTCTGGGAAGGGTTCCACATCCTGGCCACAACCTCCAGCAAAAGTTGGCCTAAAGGGACTGCTCGGCAGTAAGCTAGGGAGCGAATCGCCAGCGAATCGCCCGGGCAGAGACTCGTGTTGTGACGTGGATCCAACCTTCTCAGTCCCCATTCTAGCGGTGCTACGAAACCCTCTTTTCAAGGGGTGCGCCATTGTGAGTAGGATGCTGCGTTCAAGGTACCCTGTGGAAATCCAAATGTGAAGAGAATATTGGCCGATGTGTATCTTCGGCAATAGTCTTGAAGATGACGGTATGTAAAAATATAAATGCTGTGAACCGAAGGGGTTTTTGCAGTGGGTGATTGGGAGTGAAATATGACTTTCTGTAAGCGGTTGATTTTTCTCCTCAAGTTTCAGCACATCTTCCCCGCCCCCGGATGACAAGGAAATTGACAACGTCGCCAAATTTGAATTTTATCGCAAGTCACCATCCTAACGTATTGATGAGGGTCCAACGAATTGATGCTGCCTGAACCAGGTAAACGCCGAGAGCTTGCATGAGCTGGCTAGGAATTAAAGGGAGAGAAGCCGCGGGAGGGTTCGATTCCCTGTCATCCAGTCCTGGGGCGCGTGTTTCGTCTCCTCCATAACAAAAATAGGATCTAACGAATGGACAAAATTATCGGAAACCATACTTCACCCCTAGTTAGCCAGAAAAGCCTGCAACTCGGTGGCTATTTCCACGGGGTCAAAGAGTTATTGTTGGCATCACGCATTGAAGCTCAGGTCCCCTCACCCATTGGTTTTGCTGCCTCCGTGAAAGTATAGATGTGTAGAAAAATATTTGCCCTGATAGACCACAGGTGAAAGGCAACGGAAATATGATCCTCTATTTCCGTTCCGCATCTCCATCTTCCCATTGCGTATCACCCCATCAACAAGCGGAGCTTGCGAATGGGGTTGGGAAGCCGCACAGGAATTTTTTACTAACTGGGGCCCGTTAGATGGGGTGCTTCCTGCTCAGCTTTAGATAGCAATATCGGTTTCTCAGGGTTAAATTTCCAACAGGTGATATTAGTGAATAAGTTGATTTGCCAGCCTCAACTTGTAGGCTGGCGTGTGGAGATTGAAACATGCCCCTGTTCTGAAATACTCAGTGACACAATTGACAACTGACGAGCGTGTCTGGAGTCCGTTCGTGGTTGAGAGTAATGAGGGCTTAGTCGAACAATTAAAGCTTATACATATATCTGTTTTCGTATCTTGGCAACTGAAGGACAATCATAGGAGTGAATTGTACTCTATACAGTGTCTCGAATTTTCATTGGAATGGAAATGCTTGTAGGGGAGTGAGTGGGCCAAGCCTCAATGGGCGCCAGCTTAGATTTAAATATCCTCCTGAGCCCAGTAACTACACATGAACACAAGCGCCAACCTCATAATACGTCAAGCACAAGACTCCAAATGCATGATGGTGCGAGCTTCAATTTTGCTCTCATCTCAAGTCTGTCTACGACGGATTCTCCTAGGGAGCGCAAGCTTTCTTCACGCCCGACGCGCCCAATTTGTGCACGTCCTGAATCAGCCCTCACAGTTTCTGCTACAAACACCTCGTGCTAACCACTCCTACTCAAACGATGGTCTCTGACTTGTCTTCTTCCCTCGAATTCCCAGACACATGATTTGATATAGTTGACGCTTCCGAGTCCATTGAAGAGGAGACACTTCCAAACTACCGCTCAGAAAATCATTATCCAGCTCACATCGATCAGGTGCTCCTAGACAGGTATCAAATTGTAGGGAAACTGGGCTATGGAGTCACTTCAACTGTTTGGATAGGCCGTGATCTGCCGTGCATTTCTCCTTCTGCAACATTAAATCTACTGACTGCCGTGGGCTTTCTGTGATGCTTCTTTAGAGAGTCTCGCTATGTATGCTTGAAGATATCTACCGCTTCGTCAAGCGAAATGATGAAATTGCAATTTACAAGCAGCTTGAGTCTGTTGCCTCGAAAATTGATCATGTTGGTCAAACTCTGTATCGGAAACTATATGATTCTTTCGAAATCACTGCTCCCCGCGGTACCACTCATACATGCCTCGTCCAAGGGCCTCTGGGATTAAGTTTATCACAGATTCTCGATCTCCGGCGTTCCGGGCTCTTAACAACGGACCTGCTAAAACCTTTACTGCGACAGCTTTTAATTGGTCTGGATTTCCTGCACGTAGCAGGTGTTGTTCATACAGGTATGGAAACGGAAACTCTGTTCCTCCCCTTCTCCTCTAGCTTTGACGAACGACGCGGATTAATAAGAAGATAGGAAGACCTTCAAAGCAAAAACTTACTTCTTCAGATTGAAAATATCGGTGTTTTCAAAATTTTTGAAGAAACTGAGCTGGAAGAGCCAGCACCAAGAAAGGTTCTGGAAGACCACACCATCTATATGAGTCGGCGCGTTCCCGGAACCGAAACACTCCCTATCATAACGGATTTTGGGGAAGCTAGGTATCAATTGGTGCCAAAACACGCTATCTCTGCATTTGACAGCTAGTTGAAATTCGCCCTTCCAAAATTGCGCGCCATTGTCATCCATTAACTGACTTCTTATGCGCTATCACCTGCGTGAAACTTCGCTCCAATCCCGGACGTCACGCTCGAGAGCCTCGCTGTAGTCATTGAGGGTGACGATAAAGAGGGCTTTTTGAGCTTTCTCCGCAAAATCCTTCGTTGGCTACCTGAGGAAATGCCCACGGCCGGAGAACTAGTGTACGATGAGTGGGTGCTGAAGGGCTTGGGCAAAGGCAAGGGCAAGAGCGAAGGAGCTTAGGCTTTGATAAAGAAATTCGCTACTCTCTGTTGTGTTGCGGGGATTCGAGACAGAATTTTACGATATATTACAGCCTGTCCCATTAGGACGGCACAAAGCTTAGGCTGGCAATGGAACAAATAGTGTAGATAATATTTGATGCGAATGACCCTACTGTATAATACCTTCGGGTTTTACCAGGAATCTCATCAGGTTACATGTTTCCATATTGCTATTTTGTAACAACTACTTCCACGATTCAGTTTTCACAACTTCCAGCAAGAAATATATTAGGATGGCTGTTCAACGCAATGTCGTGTAGCGATCAGTGTGGCAATTATCTCACCTCCATACCTATCTAATGATGGAATATATATATATAATGATTTGCCCTTTAGCAAGTTCACTCCTCATTATGAAACATCTGTAGGGATGAGTTCGCTCAAAATAGTCATCTGGTTTATATTAATTTGTGCACTTTCTATGGAGCCAAGGGAGCCTCCTCAAGACTACGTGTCGCTTCGAAAATCTTCCCAGGATTTAACAACCAGTGGGGATCGAGGGAGCGCTTGATACTGCGCATAACCTCGATGGTGTCCGATCCGACTTCTTTGAGGAGTGATTGCTTTTTACCGAGCCCAACGCCGTGTTCGCCCTAGTGAAGATGCATGTGGTTAGCATTGGTAATTGGCGATAAAAAAAAGGATCCACAGTGATACAAAGGGGTGAAAGGGCAAAACGAGAGGAGGATGAAGTGGATCAAAAAACTTACCGTGCAAGAACCGTCCATTTCCAATGCAAGGTTAACCATGTCGTACACGCTCTTTTCTACTCTGGCCCGCTGGACAGGGTCTCCTTTGTTATACAATATGCTCTCGTGGAAGTTACCGTCTCCAATGTGGCCGACGATGCTAGCAAATAACCCTAACTTATCCATGTCCTTCTTTGACGATTCTGGTTATATATTCTTAAATCAGCCTCTGCTTGCAATTTCCCATTTATTTCTTTATTTCTGTCTCTTTTCAAACTTGCAAGTTCACTTACCGATGATATCGGGGAGCCGAGAGAGAGGCACTGCAACATCTGTAGACCAAATGTCATCTCCCTCCTTTCGAAGTGCCATCATGCTCCAGAGAGACTGTTTGCGAGCAGACCACAGCTCATGAGCCTCCTGGTCGTCCTTTGCAAATACGAAAGAACAGCTGTTATTGTTCTTGGCGATCGCCTTGGTCGCTTTGACGTTATCAGCGACGCCAGCTGGGGATCCCGAAAATTTGAAGAAGAGAGTGGGAACCTCCTTCCATACTCGATTGGTACCGCCAGCACCATTGATAACTTTCATCTGCACCTCGTCAAGGATCTCCATACATTGGACAGGGACACCAGAGCGGATGACCTTCATGGCGGTAGAAGCGGCGTCACGTATGGTTGGGAAAGTGGCGACCCCTACCCTCGTCTCTTCAGGTAAGATAGCGAGTTTTAGGGTTATTTCCGTGACAATGCCAAGTGTCCCTTCGGATCCTACGAACATTCCTGTTAAATTGTAGCCTGCGGCGCTTTTACGGGGGCGCCTTCGAGTCTTAATAACTCGCCCATCGGCCAGCACCACGGTCAGGTTGAGAACCCAGTCCTTCATGGTTCCGTAACGGACGGCATTGGTGCCACTACAATTCGTGCCAACCATGCCACCAACCTTGGCAGACGGGCCTGGATCGATAGGGAAGAAGAGGCCGGTGTGTTTAATTTCCTCGTTCAATTGCATCCATTGAACAGAGGGCTGGACGACAACATCCATATCATCTTCATGGAGCTCAATCATCTTGTCCATATGGACAAAGTCGATGCTCATACCCCCGTGGGGCGCTGAGAAGTTCCCCTCAAGACTGCTCCCACCTGAAAATGGAATCATGGGCATTCGGTACTTGGTGCATATTTTTGCGATCTGGGAGACCTCCTGGGTGTTCTTAGGATATGCCACGGCGACGGGTAGTTGTTCACAATTGATTGATGACCATTCCGAATAACCATGGAGATGCAGATCTTCATCATCTGTGCTGATTGCATCTTCTCCTAGCAAAGTTCGTAGTTCGGCAATTGCCTACCACCAACAGTTCCAGGTTAGTTCGCGGACATTTGTATATAGGTATACATATTAGCTTAGAATGTAGGTGCACTTCTTAATGCCTGAGTATTGCGATATGGTTGTTATTTTGAAGAGAATCATGCTTGCTTTTTCCAAGTCCTTCACCGTCCCATACTTGGGTTTTTCATCCCTTGGACCAAAAAGCAGCGAAACAGAAGGAACCGAATCGCTGCCGGCACCGAACGCATATCCGAGCCCGCCAGCAATGGTGGCAACAACAGCGTGACCAACTTTGACGAAGGATGAATTTGGAACTGTTTTTTGCGATTGAGAGCCAGAGGCATTGTTGCTATTCCATCGATAGGAAATGGGCCGTGGGCGTTGCTCAAGCCATCGTGCGGAGCGTTGATATCCCAGCCCCCGCCGTCCAATGCCTGTAGCAATCCGGCCGAAGGGTCTCATGGCCGCTCGTTTCCAAGGGTGTGTTTGATAGATTTTTACAGGAGCGGAGACAGAAACGAGTTGAGTTAAGTCATTGTTGAGGATGGAGATGAGGAATAATTAGTTAGTAGATGGTCGGATATTGACGGAGGTCCTACTAGTATTTATGAACCCGAATAAGGTGTGATCTTAATTACGCGATAGAATAGCGATAAACGAAGAGTAGAGCTCCGATTATCTATCTATCCAGAAGGGGATTCAACTACCAATTTATATCTGATGGATAGATATCCTCGCTCGAAAGAACATGATAAACTTATGTGTGAAACTCTCGCTTGTCAAATAGGTGGTGAATTCGGTGGAGATTTTAAAAACTCTTAACTCCATGCTCAGTTTTAGCCATAACAATAAAATCCATCTCCTCATCTGACAGCAAGTAGTTCATCATTCAGATTTGATCAATCGACGAAGCTACTAGGTTAGAGGAAACATGTCCTTCGAGCGCCAGCAGGATGAGTTCCACTGGGGCAAAAGAGCTCGATCAATGCCAGCGCCACGAATCATCGAGTCCAATCCCTCCAACAGTTTGCTCTGCCAGCACCAGCACCACCACCCACCACCACTATCAGTAAAGGATGGCACTGTTGCGAGAGCAAGAAGCGTGCGATCAAAATGCATGATAGGCGACAACCGTTACCTACGCCAGTGGCGACTGGAAGACAAAGACGCAGCTCTCACCATTGTCAACATCTTGCTGGGCACTGATCGAACGCTGTAGCTCAATATTTACCAATTCCACGTTTTCACAACAGCACAGTGGTCCTTGGAGAAAGGTTTCACACCCTTTTTCACAGCCGTTTTTCATTTTATTTGGATGGTTTACCTGGTTTGTTTGCAGTTAGGAGGATTGACTACGCGTAGTTGCAGCATCCGAATCAAAATGCCATGCATTGATTGGTTTGCTAGCAACTCAAGAGAAGTTTGGTCCTTCATTCTAAACAGCGGCGAGCTGTTTTACTCCGCAAGAGCTACGCTGTTTGCAAATTTTTCTGGGTATTGCCGGTCAGGTCAATTGCGGCTTCGATTTGGCGGATTTCGCTGGTCCCTCAGGTAAAATACGCATTCGTGTAGGTCTATATTTAAGCCGGGAACAATAAAGCATTGCAGTGTTCCAGGCGTATAGGGAGGGGGAATGTATACGCAGAAGTATATCCCATATATATACATCTATCGATGGTTTCATGTTTATATGTCCACGACCAGCTTCTCTTTCGTGTTTAGTCTGTCACTTGGGGCCTTTTTCCCCCGGCCTCTCTCACTGTTTTCTTTCTTTCTTTCTTTTTCCCAAGAAATCTCGGCCACCAGGAATTTCGCTTTCTAGTCGACTTCGAAGTCTAATTTTATGGTAGGATGCATGACATGGAGATGGACACGCTCAATGTAATTTGCCCTTTCCATTTCCCACACACATTCACTCACTATAAGTTGTTCGCCTCTGCATGCCTCTGCTTCTTGTAGAGCAACGCTCGCGGATTCCTGCATGTGCGGACTAGTATAGCGTCCATGGATATATCCAACATGGTCAAGACTCTGACGGCCATGTCCCACTCATTCATGCGCTTGAGAATCCCCTCTCAGAGCTACCTTGCTGCTAACGACCTTCATCCTCCGTAACAGCATGCATCAGCAACCGGGGCTACCACCCATCGACATAAACGGCCAAGGAGAAGTCGGGGAATGGGAGATCCTCGCAATTCAAGAATGAGGGAGGACGCAGCCCGCGAGAAGTTGAGGAAACTAAAGCAACGGGAGGCGGAGGAGTTACTTGAACGGCAAGAGGGGCAGCAGCAAATCGAGCAGCTGTTTCAGCGTCGCCATGGTGGCCGCTGTGTTAATCATCTCATTCCAGTCAAATCTCATATGCAAACAACCCTTAATGCTCTCTGGCCGTCAACACCGCCAAAGCAGCTTCCTCTTGACACCTCAGCCTCAACCCCAACCTCAACCCCAACCTCAGGCTCGAGGTTCTACCTCGCATCTCAATGCTTCCGCTTCTCATCTGCCTTCCATATCTCCTCACTTAGTAGCAGCAACAGTGGTAGCACCAACACCAAGAACTCCAGATTGCCCTGGGGCAGGTATCTATGGTTGCTATCCACCAGGGTATGTTATAAATCTTGCTCATATCGTCTCGGGTGTATACCTCTCATCTTAATCACTAGTGGAGTGATATTTCTATTCCTAGATTCACCTCACTTCAACCTCTTGCACTGGCATCCCTTTTTCACAAAATAGCACACTTGTCCAACCGAGACCCAGCACTTTCCAGTGATCTTGGGACGCTTTGGGTCCAGATAGTCCTCGTTCTAACATCGATTTCAAACTCTAGGCATGGTAGCACCGCGTTATTAGAAATGTCACAGTCCCCTGGGCAAGGGTTCGCCCCTCGATCTGGGTTCAGAGGTGGTGCAAACTTTTCTTCGCCTACGAGGGTACTGGAGTTGCGAGATATCGATTTCGGAAACACGTCTCTTATCAATGGCGAGTGGGCTTCATGGGAGTCAATTTCGATATTGTTGGCTCGCATCCCCAAAAATGTCAATACCTTCATGCTGTGGAAATCATTTTCCAAGTATGGTAATA